TCCAAGACATTAAGGTTTGTAACACTGTCCTAAACATTTTTTATGGATTAAAGTTTAGTACATAACTAGAAAAGTGTGAGTACATTCTTAAGTTTTAATAAAAGGTTAAAATTTATTATATATTTAATTAGTAATTGATTAAATAAAAAAAATTTAGATTTCACTATAACTATCCAACAAATCTTTCAAACTTAGAATAAAGATTTTTATGGATTAAATTTACTATATGCTTGGTGTTTCTAGCAAAAAATGTCTGCTGCCAATTTCATGCCTTGTATTTTATCCTCTAATTAAGTAGATTAGGAAATGTTAATTAAATTTATAATGGTATTTTTCTTGATTTGAGAGCCAGCATGTGAAAGAATAAAGGTTAAGATAATTGACTGTAACTAAAAAAAAATAAAAAGATAATCATATTATAACCAATAAGATCTGAAACACAATTTTTAAAAGTGAAAGAAAAAAGAAATTAGTGGGTAAAGAATAAAATAACAGTTTCTTCTTTTAACTTTTTATCTTTGTATTTATCTCTAAATTGAACAAAACTTAGTTTTCAATGGACCTTCATTTCTTTGTCAATCACTCTCATCTCTCCTTCTCATTCATTTTCACTTTATTCATTATTAATTCCTTCTGTTCTAAACAACTTTTTTTTTTTTTTGTTTCTTCAAACTCAATTCTTAAGGAAATTATAAAAAAAAACCCAAAATAATGGCAGTAAAATTTATTGTATATGTATATTAAAGGTATAGATTACACAGCACAAGAAGTACAGTTACATGTTTTGGGAACAAAAGCACATACACCAAAAGGCTTGTTTGGGAGCTGGCAATCGATGCCGAAGCAACAAGGCATGGTGGTGCAGATGGTGGTGGAGCAGCACTTGCACAGCAAGCATAGCTGGAACGGATCGAGCCTTCGACGTCGTCCTCCGGTAACAAGTTCAAACCTAGTTGGTTCTGTTGGCCACCAGTTCATTTCAACTGCAAATCATCAAAACCAGGGTCAAAATTTTGAAGATTTTTGCTCAGAATTAGAAATTGGGTTGATTACCTTGAGCTTTAGATATGCCCAAGTAAGCTGCCAGAAGCACCAATACAAACACCTTTGTGGTATAATTGAGTGGTGACTTGTTCATGGTGAGGGAGCAATGAAAGCCAGAGAACCAGAGATAATTGAGTGTGTATATGTGGTGGATAAAAGATTATATTTTTTAATTAATTGGGAATGCTTGGAGGAATATTAATTGGGCCCATTTGTTCTGATTGACGTAGGCCGTGTTTGGATTAGATTATATATATATATAAATTTATTTTGTTAGAAACGTTAAAACTCACTGTAAAGATTGTAAGCAGTCGAAGAGTTTAATTTAACCGAGAGAGTGAAATGGTCAATTGGTTTTCACCCCAATAAAAATGGAAGCCTTCCCATGTTTTATCATTTTTTTTTTAAAAAAGGAAGGGATTACACAACTTCCACTGTTAAGTGAACACAGCAATAGAGTTTATACAAGCACAGCGACTTGGGATCTCTATGATACAGTGAACATCAACCAGAACAAAGCAAAACGCACTCCTTTTCTTTTCAGAGTTTTCGGAACGTTTTCAGAAGAGACACACCAGAGACCTGTACATACAGGTGAAACTTCTCATCTAACCCTGCATGCTGTAGGGCCGCCTGGGGAACAATTTGGATTGGGTGACCTACAAATTGCACCGGGGCCAACATTATTCGGAAACCTGTGACGCATTCGGTAATCAGGGACCCCTCCCATTGCAAAACCACTGCTGCCGCCAGTTAGAGTTGGCTGTAGTGATGATGATATTTCACTTGCACCATCCCCTGTGGATTGTAAAGGTTCCAGAGTTTCTACCACATCACTCATTAAAGGTCTTGCTTTAGGATTCTGGCTCAGGCAATAATAAGCCAAGCTGCACGCCTTCTGTGCTGCCCTAACTGAATATTGGTTCTCCAATCTTGGGTCAATTATTTGAAGCAATTTTCGCTTGTCATTAAGTTTTGGCCGAGCCCAATCCACCAGGCTCTGCTCTTTGCTTGGTCTCGTCTTGTCAACAGACTTTCTTCCTGTTAAAAGCTCTAAAAGGACAACCCCGAAGCTGTATACATCACTCCTAGCAGTCAAGTGACCTGTTCATTTTACATAGATATGATTCAGAAACCATGTTTTGCTTCATTCTATACATATGCACATGCACCCACAAATTAGCACATCTGGTGTTCTGGACACACTAACTATAAAAACAGGTGAATGCAAGAAATGACCATAAAAGTGTTCCAATCACAAAAAGAGAAGTGGAATGATGTGATAGCCACAGATGAAAGCCGGAACTGTAAAAGAGAATACAACCCTATCAATACAATCAACTGAGTGCCAAATTCTCAGATTTTGCAAGTCACTTGTAACATCAAAAAAAAGAATGAGTTTGTGAACGAGAGAAGAATTACAATCTAACATGAAAGCTTTATATAGATTGCAAAACAGTAAAAATTTATAGAAGACCAATCTCTCTAATTCCAGCAGCGAACCTCAATTTGGCATCTTGTCTATTTGATAAAAAATAACATGTTCAACTCGTTAACTGGAATAAAGCTCAAATGTAATAGTTATTTCAATAATAATTGAACAATACTGTAACAAAATTGATATTACATTAACATATTTGATTCACAATCAGTAACTCAATACAACTTCAATACAAACCATATAAAGCCATATTTGATTCTAGAATTTTTTTTATCTATACTCAATTTTAATTAAAAAAATTCTAAACCATATAAAACCATATATTTTATTTTAAACATGTAGTAATCAATTAACCAATTAATTAAAAGTTATGTTGATGAGTAGGACTATAATGATTTTGAAAGTCAATGCGGTAATCTTAATTCGTAATCTTCCACCTATGAATCAGGATTAGAACTTCAATAATCAAAATTACAAAATAATCATGACTTGGTCAACCAAAAAACATAACATAATAAGCCTTTAACATGTAAAGACTATTGCATTGTTAGGATATTCTTGTCTTATGTAGCAACCCAAACATGTTGTAAATATTTATCATGCATTAGCGCAATGAAGCTCCTCTAGCATTTCCTTCCCTAAAGTAAATCTCATTATGCTAAAAACTATAAACATTTTACGTATACACATAAAGGGTTCTGATTCCAGATTAAAAGTTGAAACAATTATGCTAATAAATATTAAGTTGAAGATATTGAGAAGACATACCAGTCATTACATATTCAGGAGCAGCATAACCATAAGTGCCCATCACTCGAGTTGATACATGGGTCTCATCACCTTGTGGTCCAGCTTTTGCAAGCCCAAAATCTGAAAGCTTTGCTGTATAGTCCTGCAAATTGACATAACTAGCATAAGCTCAAAGAAAATCATCTGTCAATTGAGGAAGACAACAATAAAATGTTCTTAGTCAGTGCAATCAGAGAAACACCACTTACAGAGTCCAACAGTATATTAGAAGTTTTGAAGTCCCGATATATAACTGGTCTTTCATGATTGTGTAGGAAAGCCAGCCCTTTTGCTGCTCCAAGAGCAATCATCATTCTGGTGGACCATGTCAATGGAGCAGTAGCCTCTGAATAGCTCAGGAAAGGCCATATCAACTTGAGTGAATAAAACATTACCAAAAATAAGTCGAAAGTTACATTTTCAACATACATCGGATCAATTATTAGACTTTTATTATCAGTAATTTCCTCCAAAAAAAAAAGGGAAAAAGAAAGCAGTGCTGTATCTTCTCCTAAAAAAAAACGGAAAAACCTATAGTTATTTCATTCCATCAAATGAAGCATTATCCATTTTCCAATAATATTATTTTGATAGAAAACAAGCAGTATTTCTTCAACTAGACAGAAAACACATAATATTATTGGTTTATATCAGATCAATTTTTTTGGAGGAAATATCATTAGAAGACTCCATGGAGGTACCACCCTTGTACAAATATATACAACAGTCAAGAAAGTCAATTAAGTTCCCCAAATCCATACCATCAAGGACGGAGTGCCATGTCAACCATATACTCAAGAACTGGACGCAACGATTTGTAATTTTTCTGAAAGGAGAGCAAATACCCTAAAAAATAGCCTTGTTTTTCCCTTCGAAATGACCCACAAAATAGACATAGGAGTGGTTTGGAAATCATTTCCTCTGTTTACAATCTTTAATGCCCGACCAAATCAAAAGTTCTTGCTCACTTGATCCAGCTATAACCCGAATCAAGTTTAATTTGGATGAGATTATTAATGGGGGGAAAAGAGAAGCACTTCAGTCATGCGATTGTGAAACCAGTAACTCCTTGATACCGAAAACTTAGGTAACCTCTGGCTAAAACTTTTTAGAAAATGGGGTTTTTAAACAAAGGAAACATGTTTCTCTTCTTTGGACAACTAAAATTGATAAGGGTAATAATTGTTTGAAGCGTTATTTCAGATACGAAAAGGAAATCATGCATCATAAGAGTATTTTAAAACATATCTTCTATCAATAAAATAACAAGTTAGACACTTTAGGACATTAATGGAAAATTTATGTTTAAAATGCTTAAGCCATTTTCTGTTGCCTATTTGAGAAATGTTTAACAAGTTAGATAGTTTTCCCTTCTCTTTATTCTAAAAATAATAATAAAATTATTATAAAGATAACCTAGTTTTCCCCCCTTTCCCCTTGCTTCAGAAAATCCAAACATAGTGTTCACAAGGACACTTAGTATCATTTAGCTACTCCACTGAATAATTTACCCAAAGGTTGCAGGAAGATCTGCATCTAATCAATTGATTCAATGTGTATGAGTTCTTTCAATGGTTATGAGTTCTCTCCGCGGGCCAGATCGCCCAATTATTTTCATCTCAATTCTATCACTGTTTAAGCTTTAACTTCCATCAATTAATAGATTATACTATCAAGCATACTGTCAAATAAGAAATGACTCAGGACACGAATCAAAACTGTTGTCACACTCCAATCCATCTATCTCATCCACTAAATAGACTTTGTTCCCGTGAAAAGGAAAGATACAAGAACATCTTGATAGAGAGGTCAACTTCTTTAGTAGTCACTACAGAATGCAGATTCAGAACTTTAGTTCATACTGATACATGATAGTGACAGAGATAGAGAGTTCATGAAGTTTTGCTAAGGTGTGTTGTAATGTTAATGAAAACAATAAAAAAAATTTAACATCAACATCTGTTCAGGATTTGTAACCAAAGAGAGGATTAAGAAGCTTGTAAATGTGAAGCAAAGAATAGATTTATCAAATGATTCATATGAAAGTCTAACATCTGAGCAGGTATATAAAATAAAATTGACAACATTGATTGATGTAACGAGCATCAAGACAGATTGCTTTAAAAAAAAAGCACCATCAAGAAAGAATGAAATCCTTGAGAACTAGCAAGACTTTCTAAAAATACCTGCTAAAGCTTATTATAGATGCTTAAAAAGGTAGAGGACACCAGACAGATTCCGTGGTTGTTACTGTGGATAAGAAATTCGAGGGAAGCAACCTTAACAATGAGTAGGGCAGTGGAAGAGTTAATGATCGAATTTTGGGTTTCAGATGCGATTTAGGTGAATAGGAGGAAGAAGGGGTCATAGCCGAATAAGTTGAAAGGAACCTAGCGATCAATATTTAGGAAAAGAAGAGCAGGGGGAGAGAGAGAGAGAGAGAGAGAAGAGCTGCCGAAGGCATAAGATCAACAACTAGTGGTTTCCAGTCAAAAAACCTCCATGCCTTGTGAATAATCTATTTGTTGATAGATAAATATATTTATACATAAACCGAAATCTCCAAACGCTAATGTGAACTTTTGATAAACTAAGTAAAACCTTATGTAAAAGCTTAATTTTGTTTAGAGTAATAATGTCTAATGCCAATAAAGCTATCCCGAAGACTGCAATACCTATGGACACATATAAATAGACACATCAATGATAGGCCACCCTTGCAAACCCTTTAGGGGATTCTTTAACTGATGGATAAAGCAAAAATGAAAGTTGTTCAGGCATGCAAAATACTGGAGGATATGCCTGATCAAAGAAGTAAAAGAGTGACAACTTCACCGTTACTTATCATGCCTACATGCACTGTTACCACCGTGAACATACAAATACCAATACATTAACATCTGTTTACTGTAGAAATAAGTACCCTAATGTTGATACAATGTTGACTCTTTTTTTTGTTCCAATTATCTAGTTGGTTACCATCTGAGATGCTTTTAAATCTGCTATCAAGATTCCAGCCCAGATGATAAGATGCTTCAAATGTAGCAAATAGAAAATAGCAAGCACAAAAGAGGGAAAAGATAAGTTGGATTACTTCGAAAGAGATGATTCTCAAGGCTTCCACGGAACATGAATTCATAAACAAGTAATCTGTGCTCGTCCTCGCAACAATACCCAATCAACTTAACAAGATTGGGATGTCTAAGTTGGCCGAGAAAGTTGACCTCAGTCTGTCGGCACATGATCATAACAGAAGAGAAGAGGAATTTAGGGTTTGGAAGCAAAAGATAAAAGAAGCAAAAAGGAATATGCAAATAATGTGAAAAGTGAGAAAGAAACGCACAAGCCATTCGCGATGGCCCTGAAGACCCTCCTTGTTGAGAACCTTGACGGCGACAGGAAGAGACTTAAGCCCTACCTGCACATTCTCGTCAATGTAGCCTTTATACACAATCCCAAAACCACCTTCACCGAGAATGTAATCTGCGCGGAAGCTCTTGGTTATGGTCTCGAGCTCGTACAACGTGAAGGCGATTACGTGAGTATAGAGCACTGAATTCTTCCTCGATTCTTCTAGGTTACGGGGAGTTGAAGGATCGCTCAGATGTGATACTGTGCGGCTGTGCTTCTTATCAGAAGCAGCAGTTTTCACCGGCAATGAAGATACAATGTGAAGCTGCTGAACTGCAAATTATCCAGAATACGTTGGATCAATTGGTAGTTTTCTTTCAATTATAGAAGAAAAAGAAATTTATCAAACATTCAGAAATTGGATAGCGAAAAAAGAGAAATGCAATTAATGCAGGGATAGATCTGAGAAGAAAGGGGGGAAAAAGAAATAAAACCTTGAGCATGAGTGACAACAGCAGATTCCTCTCTAGTACCACAGTTGCCCATCTTGGGTGTGGATACTGGTTGCAGAAGCAGCAGGTGGTCCAAGCAGAGTAAAGGATATGGATATGGCTATGGCTATGGCTATGGCTTTCCTCCTGTTGATACTGAGTTCCACTTTCATTCTTCTGTAGCCTTCCTCTTCCCAAATTTCGTCACTCGCACATAGTGTGTCAAGTGGTGTCAGATATTATAATTGAAAAAAAAGGGTTTGGTAGATAACAAAATTCGGATTCCAGAACCTCTCTATCTCTCTCCCATGGCCTTTTATCCTGCACCAGCGTCTGCCTCAAAGTGACCAAGAATCTGTGGATGTCATGTCCCTTCCCTTTTTGCTGTATGTAGGTCCCTTCCCTGTTCAACCACCTTCTCTCCCCTACTTTCTTTTTTACCCCTTTTCCTTTTTATTTTTATATATTGGTGTAAACACCCACTCATATTTCTTCAGCGTTTTCTTTTTTCCTTTTCTTTCTTCAAAGATATTTATCACTTATGATGACGAACTTTGCATCTTTTTCTATATAATAAATCATTATCATATTCTTTATTTTAAAAAAAGAATTATCGTATTCTTTGACCTAGAGAACTCTTAGAATAGAGAAATTAAATCATTAACAGTGAAATCTAATAATATAACGAGTGTATATCCTAGTTTTTCTTATTAAAGGATCTACACCGAATAATATTATTTTTCAAACTAAGATGGTATGTATTATACTTCTTAGTAAGTAACACATGAATACATTTATAGGTACCATTAAATAATAAATTTATTAGACAAACTCGTACAAAAATTTTACATAAAATTTTACTTAATTTTAAGTAAAAAATTTTATGAAAAAATATATAAACTATATTTTAAACTTAATTCATTGTGGTAATCTTGTAAATAGTATGACATATAGAAATCATATTGCACCTCTCGATCTTATTTTAGAGCTATATCATGTTAATCATTAGTTATATACTAAATAAAATTATTATCTATATAATATTTACGAGACCATATGAGATATGGGATAGCAAATCACCAAGTTATAAAACAATTAAAATATAGAGATGTCCTATTTATGTGAAGGGGTGAAGCTTCCAACTTGGACTTAAACATTTGATCATGTTGTTTGTAAATTATTTAAAAGAAGATTTTAGATATTATTTCTTCAAAATATAAAATCAAAACAAGTTCATCTCTAAACATTACGTCTTTTAATAAATAAATAAATACTCCATCTTAATAGATGCATTAAGCATGAATTTGAACTTCCACCTACATGTAACACTCATAGGTCATAAAGAGAACTTAAGCAACATGAAAGGCATTATAGACATCTCATAGATAATAGTACTATATTCTTTTACATTTTGAATATTTTGTGAAATAATAACGAGTACAAATAATAAAATCATAAATAACCTTAGAAGATCCACTAAAAAGATTTCAGATAGCAAGATGTAAGTGGATCTAGAAGAAAAGAAGTGCAAATATGAAAATGTGAACTCTTTTAGGCAAGAGCGAAAATAAAAAGTTATACTAAGAGATAAGGAATTGAAAATGAGGAAACCCTTCCACCAATTTTGGATCTTTTTTGTAGTTATAACATACTTAGACTATGATATTTGGTAAATAAATATAAAAAATATTTTGTTTGATAGAAAAAGAGAAAAATGTGTTAAGATACAACTTAAGGAGACAAGTCTAATGAGGCCAACAAATTTGATATCCTTTCACAGACTTTGTACGAGAGTCTAAAATAAAAAAGGAACTCAAATTATAAACAGCAGGAGTGATCATTAATATAGATTTCTACTTCTAGAACTCAATAGAATGAAGTAGTAGAATGAAATAATATATTTTTAGAGGAAATTGATAAAATTATACTGTATAAGCATAATTTACCTAACTATTTTTAGATGGAAGAGGTTACCACTGGTTGCTATGTAATAAATGGAGAATTAATTCGTCCACTGCTAAACTAAGACATTCTATGAGCTTTTAAAATAAAGAAAACCAAATATTGGTCATTTGCACACTTTTAGATGAAAATGTTACATATGAAATCACAACAAAGACAATATTGAAAATTTTGATACAAAATACGATGAAGAAATTTTTTTAGGGTACTAAACTTTTAGTAAAGCTTATAAAGTTGTTAGTAAAAGAACTCTAGTAGTTGAGGATTCATGCATATAGTCTTTGATGAGTTTAACCCTCATTCAAAGAAAAATTATGAAGATTAAAAAATATGTATAATTAGGAAAATTGAACATCAATGAATCACCAATCAATGACATAAACAATGATGAACAATAAATAGAAGATGAATCATACAGTAAAAGCTAAGAACAAAAAATATAAATAATGCTACCTAAAGATTAGAAATATGTTGATATTCATTTTAAGGAACAAATTATAGGTGACACATCAAATGGAGTGAAGACTAAATGTGTTATAAGAAATGAATGTGATGACATTATTGGCAATTTATGGCTAGCTCAACCATAGCAAATTTACAGCTTGCTACACCATAGCTGATTTGTGGCTCGTTACACTATAGCTTATTTGTGGCTCACCATACCAAAACATGATTTATGATCATGCATGTTCCAACCACTGTGGTCCTAAAAACTATGACCACAACCGTACTTCGTCACAATGGTCCTAAATCTCTTATGCGCTTTCGCGTCATCATCCATAGGGAGTGAAAACAGGGTGGGGACAACAGAAGTAGATAAAATAGTCTAACAGATTATTCATGTTTTCATGTATCCCTTCATGCTTTTCATGCCATGTCAACAATTTCATGTAATCTCTTCTCGTATCAATTGCATTTCAACCTCATTCATGAATAACAAAATAAGCCCATTACACGATGCTGTATAGTAAAACAACTTTAAAATTAAAACTCATCACACCCTCAAATCTGCACAATCATGCATAAAATCAAATCATTTCTAATTTTTCTAAAAAAAT